GACCGAGCACCCTTCTTCAGTTAGGCCGAGAACCCTTCTTCAGTTAGGCCGAGAACCCTTATTCGTATCGCAAAAAAACAGCGTTCTTCACCATTTTTTTGCTCCAAAACTCGATTAAAAACTCGTTTTTTATGAAAACACGAAGAACAAACCCCCACTATTTTGCCAAGATCTATCCAAAAATGCAAAATCCTTCAAGAAAAAGGTCAAAAATGCTCCAGATCTGCCAAAATGAATGATACAATCCAAGCTCTTATACCAACTGTAATTCCCAAATTTGCTTGATGTATAAATCAGATCCAATTGATGGTGCGAAATCCCAATCAATTGGATGATGCAAGATCAAAATAGAGAAGGAAAAGAAGAATAAGATGAATCTATGATGTTTATATGATATGAATGATAATCCAACACTAGATTCACACACACACTTGCACCTTCTCTACTTTCTCTCTCTAAAACACACATACTTGGCCGTTAACTCCCTCTACCACATGACATCTATTTATATTGAACATGGGTCGTGAACAGGTTCACGACTATGAACCAGTTCACGGCTATAAACACCCACCTGGGCTATGAACCCTCCTAACCGCACACACCACATGGACCGAAAAATATTAAAGATTAGAAAAGTAAAGTATAAACCATATTTTTGACCCAACAAGCTTGTAGCTTTACGTGACATTAGAGACTTGGGATGATAGATCTAGAGTTTGGAGTTGTAGATCTGCCTTTAAACGTCTGAATGAGAATATAAGACTGAATGGACTCGCCGAGTCAATGGGCTGACTCGACGAGTCGGCTAGGGTTTTCCCCGATTAGTCTAGACATGAGTAACTCGGCGAGTTGACAAGACAACTCGACGAGTTAGGTTTGGTTTTCACGACTTTTCTGAAGGAACAAGGGGACTCGACGAGTAACATAGGTGCACTCGATGAGTCGGGTCAACATGGACTGTTGACTCAAGTGTTGACTTCTGTTGACTTTAGGGTTTGGTCAAGACAAGGATTATTGAGACCATGGAAGGGTAGAATGGTCTTTTACCCATTCCAAGAGTTAGAGAGAGAGAATAGCCTTTAGTTTATTTAGAGTTGTGATTGGAGTGTTAATTAGAGATAATTATCATATGTGTTAGGCGGAGGCTAGATCGGTGATTCGTATACGAGATTCATTTGCTTGTTTACGAGGTGAGTCTTCTCACTATACTTACCTTGAGTGGTAATTTGTTTGACAGGAGGGTCTTGTATGCTATTATTGAGTATTGTGATATCCTGTATCATGTCTTTGTGATTTATGTTGTGTATTATTATGAGCTTTACTGAGTTAGGACCGGAGGGTCCACCCGAGTTATGGGACCGGAGGGTCCCACTGAGACACATTAACTGGAGGGTCTTATTCAGGATATAGCCATGAGAGGCTAATGAGATATGTGTGGTATTTTGGGGAACTCACTAAGCTTCGTGCTTACCGTGTTATGTGATATGTGTTTCAGGTACTTCTCAGGATCGCGGGAAGGCGCCGACTTGATTGTACACACACTTGAGATGGAGTTTATGTTTTGTGGATCCTGGATTTTATCAAACGATTTATGATATTTGTGTTTTGAAAATTTGACACTTGTGGTTTTTGGAATGTGATAATGAGAATTATATGTTTTAAAAATGAAAATTTTGTTTGAAAATTTACGGTGTTACATGTTAACAAATCCCCCCTTCCCCCCCCCCCCCCATTTTTTTTAAGAATTCATAGTAGTGTGTCATGTTAAAATATGGCTAGACAATAAGACCCGTATCTCAGTGGTTCCACCCTGCTTGCTCTATATTATCTCTTAGTATATGGTAGCAGTGACTTGTTATTTGTGTTTGTGAGGGACACTAACGATGCTTGTCAAGACTTTGAACAAATCTAATGTCACTTGCCAAGTTCTGATGACCCTTTTTAGGAAGTAATGCGGACAACACACGAAGCTAAAAGCACACAAAGACACAATATTTACGTGGTTTGGTCAAGATGACCTATGTCCACGGGTAGGATGGGAGTATTCTTTATTCATAGAGTTCTCAAACAGAGATTGCAAGTACAACCAGCAGAAATTCATCCTACTCACTAAGGATACAAAAAAAACGACCCAAATGACTTAGCATGCATCCCTATTTATACTTGAGGGATCAGATCTAAACGCTAATGGGACAAGCTCATTTGCCCATAGGCCACTGAATGGTATCAACCAATCACAATCTATCATGCAATAGATTTTAGAACATTCATCCTTGCATGAGCATCAACAACACACATGATGGAGCATCATGATCTATAGTGGCACATCATGATGCAAGAGTGGCACATCAAGATCAACATGGCATATCAACCATCATGGTGACACATCAAGAAATAATCCTTGAGCAACTTCAACTTCTGAGCTTCCTTGAGCATTATTAAGCATCATAGGGGACTTCATAACATATAGCTCATCAAGGGATACCTTGGCATATCAAGGAACCAAGTGGCGCATACCAAGATGGCGCATCAGGCATGTGAATGGCGCTTTTTGTGCAAGGAATGGCGCTTCCTCATTATGAGTGGCGCTTCTAGAACCATAGTGGCGCTTCTTCCTTCAAAGTGGTGCTTCTTCCTCCAGAATGGCGCTTCTACCTCCAGAATGGCATATCCTGTCACCTGGTGGCATATCATGTCACTTAATGACATATCATGTCACTTCGTGGTATATTAAGTCACTTCGTGACATATCAAGTTCCAGTAGCGGCGCACCTTGACTTCTAAGTGGCACATCCAAGCATAGGATGATGCTTCATGTTCATAGATGGCACATCTATGCACCAGGATGCTCCATTCCACTTCCATGTACTTCATACCCTCTTTTAGAAGATTCGTTCATTTGTCACTTGATCTGTTCCTTTGTTAGGAGATTTGTCCCTTTCTCAGATGGTCTGTTCCTTTGTTACATGCTCCATGAACCCCAAGTTCTCCATTGAGTTTCAAGTTCTCCATTGAACTCAAATGTTCCATACGAATGCTCCAGATGCTCGAGTCACATTTAACAGTGTTATTTAATTTTTTTATTTGTTGGTTTGACACCCAAACACATAAATATAATATTTGAAAGTTTATATAAGTTTATGAATGTGAATGATAATTTAGCATCATAAGGAAGAATGAAGACGAAGAGAAAAAATGTGCGTTTAATTGTAGTTTTTTTTAGAACAAAATCTTACAATTAAATACACATATTTATTCACCACATGACTTGAACCATCATCTATTTGAAGTGAGACACATTTTAATACTACTGAGCCAAAGACTCTTTACAAATTGTAGTATTATTTAACCGACACTTGTAGCCACGTGGACATGTGTCTTCATTGGAAAATTTGTTTAATATGAAGGGTTGGTTTTGTAATATATCTTTATAGTAAAAAGGAAAACATAAAAAAAAATGTAATCCGTGTAACACCATCACAAATGATACGAGTCTATTATTTTTCTACGAAAAACAGTACATATATCTATTTTCTTGTCTTATAATTTACTCCTATTGTCAATGACAATTAGAGGTCTGCAAATCGTGGTTATACATGTTAATTGGTATCCACTTTTGAATACCAACAATTTAAGGCGGGTTAAAACCGGTTTCGTTCAGTTAAAAAAACCAAGTTAAAAATCGGTTAGTACTTTTTTAGAAAACATATATCTAACCGGTGGTTCAATTTTTGTACGGGTTAAACAAAAACCTTGTTCCTTTGTGCACCTCTGCTTAAGGCCCTTATATAACCAGTTATACGCTCGGCCATACAGGTTAAAGATTTCGGGGCTTAGTCCACTTAAGACTTACGACCTCAAGCCGGTTGAAGGAGGCCGGATTAAGGTTTTGAGGATTGGGCCTTGGAGTTGTTATAACACGTTAAAGTTCCTTGTGTACCCCTCCAACTTTTTCTACTGGCGACTACCCACTGTCGGAGGGAAAAGTTTTGCCCGTACAAGAAAAAAGTTCATGTTCGTCTCTAGACAAAGTTACCCATAAATTTTGACAAAGGTGAGAGCAACTTGTGATAATTGAAGTTCTTTTTGTATTATAGTACAAAAGTTTCTTTAAAAGGAAAAGGTATCCGTAGTGGTATACTTTGGAATATATAATCATAAGTTCATAACATCAAATAGAATGTTATTTTGCAGCAAATTTAGTGAATCGTTTTAAAAAGGAAAACATTGTTTTTGTTTTAAGACAAAAAGGCATTAAGTCAAAAATGTATATCATATGTCAAAATCAGACACATTTCCAAAATATGTAGACGTACCTTATGTCATATCATTACAAGTTAGAGAATATTAGAAATTCATATATATATGAATGCCAAATTTTCTAAACAAAAATCTATTGTCAATATTTTGATTAATAATATGAAATTTATTAGTGTGAAACTTCTCCAAATAAATGATAAATGTAATAATAAAAATAATAATTTAATAATGAGGGTAAACTCCATAAATCAACTATGTTGATCATTGAATCCTAGAAAAAGGCATGATGTTGTATATAGTAAATTACAGAAACGGTCTTTGTGGTTTGGTTGAATTCGCAGCTTTGTTCCAACCTTTGAAAAATTGATAAGTTGCATCATCGTGGTTTTCAATTATTGCAGTTTTGATCCTTCTGTTTAACTCTATTAGGAAAAGTCCGTTAAATGCATGTAAAATGACTAAAATACCCCTCATTTATTTTTTTTTATTCTTTTCTTTATAATTTTATTATTATTTGTCGGGTTGCAAACCCCTTCCAACTCCTTCATCTTCTCCTCAAACTCTTCAACCTCCACCCAAATGATTCCCATTCAACCACTATATCGCCTCTTCCACACAGTAATCTGCGGGACTCCTCTCGGTGCCGGAGGGATCCCAGAAAGCTCAAATTTCCCAGTAGATTGTTATCTTTTGTTCGTGTTCTTTCTCTTTCGTAGACCTGAATGAAAACCCCTGGTTGGTTAATAGAATGAATCAAAAACACATGCTCCTTCTTCGTCAGAATGGTGGTGTTTCGTGGTATCAACATCGTCGACGATTTCAAGTCCCAAAGATAGAGGCGTCACGTCCAACAGAAGCAGATCCTGAACCTTCTGCTTCAAAATGGCGGCTTGCACTGTCGCGCCATACTCCACCGCTTCAACTGGGTTGTTGCTTTTTATAGAGCTCTTTCCCGTTGAATAAATCCTGCAAAAGTTGTTGGACTTTATGGATCCGCGTCGACCCACCCACCCAGATAAGTGTCTCCGGACCTCGCATTCACCTCAAAAATCCCATCTTTTATGGTGAGGAGAGAGACATTAAAAGTGCCACCACCCATGTCAAAGATCAACACGTTCTTCTCGCCAACATTTGAATCCTTCTTGTTGAGGCCATTATTAAAGCCACAAGCAATGGTGGCTGCCGTTGGCTCGTTGATGATTCTCATGACGTTAACACCAAAGATTGCACCGACGTCCTTGGTGGCTTATCACTGAGATTAGTTGAAGTAGGCGGGGACGGTGACCACTGTGTTCTTCACAGCGATGCCTAAGTAAGCTTCATCGATGGATCATATCTTCTCCTTCCGATTATCGCAGATCTAATCACAGATCAAAATGTTCATCACACTTTACTTTTCAATACTATTAATCATAGTTTTTGGTTTTGATCTTGTTTTGTTGGATATGTTTTTATCAATCTCATTAGTATACAATTCTCACTGTTCTTATTGTTTGTTCTTTGTTATGTTCTTTTATTTTGTTGTTGTTTTGTTATGATATTAGATAATTATTTTGCTTAGATTATTGACATGATGGATCATAAAGTTGATTCTTTTCGATCTACAAGTACCTAACTTAATTATAATAAATATGCCTACTAGAAGTTATGATGAATAACTTTTGTGTGAGAAACATATGTGGGTATTGTTACCAGCTAGTGTGATAGGTAAACCGTTCAACGAGAAAGCTACGAATTATGCGGCATTAATGGATGCATGAGAAATTGGTAATTCTAAAATTATCACTTGGATCAATAATTATATAATTGCACTATAAGTTTTTAAAACTTCATATATTTACTTTACCAATTAGGTGTTAATTAACTGATCAATAATTAACACCTACTTGGTGAACTAAATATACGAAGTTATAAAAGCATATAGTGCAAAAATATATAAAAACAAAGAAAAATAATTTTGAAAAAAATGAAAACAAAGTATAAAAAAATGAAAATGAAATAAAAAATGAAGTTATAAAGATAGATTGTCAAAAAAAACATGCAAAACGCAATAAAAAATAAATTTATAAAATCAGATTGTGAAAAAAAAAACAATTAAAATGAAAATATAAAGTTATAAAAACGAATTATAAAAAATATGTAAAAAAAATAAAATTGAAGTTGTAAAAACGTTGTGAAATAGAAAAAGTAATAACGAACAAGCAAAATTTCAAAAGTTTACTGACTAATTACAGTCTAAAAAAAAGTTTAGTGGCCTTAAATAGTAAAAAGTTCAATGATCTTAGATTATATATATATATATATATATATATATATATATATATATATATATATATATATATATATATA